TCTACAGAGTGGTGTGGCGTGGTTTGCGAGCCGAGTTTTGCCCTCTCAGACTGAATGTCCTCACGTCACTGCCGTAGCCTCCTAACCTGATTTCTCAGCATCGCCCTCTGAAAAAGGCGGATGATAAGGTGCGAGCTGTTGACAACGGCCATAACTGCAGCGATGATCGCAGCAGGCTCCATGCTCGCAGTGCTGTGGCATCCACGCTGTCAATCACCAGCAAAAGTGCGCAAACTGATTGCCCGCCGGCACTTTCACAGAGGGAGGGCAGGAGTGACGGCTGAATGACGACAGTTACCCAAAACCACCCTCGACACATTTTTTGCCCCAGCAGGCATTGGGGGCTCGACCCAGAATTCCAGTGGGCAGCGGGGACTGCGGGAACTGTGGGATAGCTGCCCACAGTGCACTGCTTCCAATGTCAACGCTTGCCCCATTACTGTGGACTCACAACGTCAAATTACTGTCCTTAGTGTGGATACACACGTTCGATTTTGTAATATCTGTTCCACAAATTCGCTTTAAGTAAAATCAAACTACTCTCGTAGTGTAGACAAACCCTTAGAGGCTGCTAATCGCATGGCAAAGGCGGCTCAAATATCCTTCTAATATAAACAGTACCATAACCTATAAGCAACGTTTAAAAGTAAATTCCCTGTACAGCATGTTAAGTGTCTTACTCCTATGCCAGTTAACTAGTCTTTAAGGAAACAAAGGTGAACCTTACTAACACTAATGGTGTACGTGATTAGTACCAAAACAGTGTGTGCCTCTACTTCTCAAAAATTGAAAAACAGAGCTATAATAAGGCTGCATATCACTAAAACTTCAGAATTTTGTACAAAGTGATGATTCTGCACTATTACAGTCTTCAAAAGCAATAAAATTCGTTTTATGTTGTGTTATCCTGGCATTAACTGTTTACTTGAAGTGTGTAACTCATTTGTACAAGCTAGTCAAGCTGTACTGAATTTGGAGCGGCTCAGCTTGCTTTTTATTATGTAAGCATTTCCACACATATTCCCCAGGAATTTATTCTTGAACAAGCCCTAAATATACAAAAAAAAAAGCAAACTAAGTCAAGCAGAACTCCCAGTAAATAACCTATTAGGCCACTTGAGACAAGTTGCTCTTACTGTTTTTAAAGCAAAAACAATCTTACCTGTTCTCCCTCTATACCCATTATTTTAGGGATTGATGGTCCACAAATATCTATGTCCAACAGAGCAATCTAAGAAAAAAAAAAGTTGGAAATAAGTGCACATAGTTGTTTACATGATATAAATTAGAAGCAAACACTAAAATGAGTTGAAATTTGGAGAGTATTTAGCTTAGATTAGTGGGAAATGAAGCATTCTGACATTAGATCACTGGCGTGAAGACATGACTGCCTTTACTAAATTCATTTTTGGTAGCAGGCCCAGTTCTAATGGGCAGTCATTCACCATCTCAATTTAAATTAATTGGTATCTTCCTTGGTAGTTGACTGAGCATTAATCCTTCAGTTTTATTCTTAGTATGCCTACAAAGAATATAGATCCACCTTAAAAGAGGCACTGAATAACAAAATGATTGGTAGTATCCTCCCAGAAGTTTGAAACCCTGTCTTTATCTGTTTTAATCGTTTACATCTAACAAATTCCACCCCCTCCCCACCTTCAGAGGCACAAATGTAATATGATCTTCACAAAACACAGCTCTTGGACCTGGGTGTAATTCATGCTCCCTCTGGTGACTGAGCGGTATATAAATTATACAGAAAAACAATTTCTATATTTGTGTATGTATTTAATGTCTCAGTAACAGAGTGGTGGATTTATAAAAAGATTTAGAACCTAGATGGCACTGCTCAAGCATGTAACCTTGAGTATCAAATTATTGGATAATACAACAAACTGCACCAACTACCTTCAAACTGATGTAATTAGAATGCAACCGTCAATGGCTGATAGTGAAAGTATATGAATCAAATAAAATTTTAAGCAACTGCATTGTATGGTTGAAAAGATCTAATAACTTTTATTGCATTTTCTTAGAGGCAAATTACCAACGTTCTGAATTTATACTGTTGCTTATGAAGATTCACCTTGTCAGGCCTCAGCAACCCTAGTTCTACTTGCATGGAGGCAATGTCAAACTCAGGTAATTTAATTTACATTGGAAAAGTGCAGACTGAACTAACTTATTCAGTAGTATGAAGGCCAAACTATCCACATAGTCACAGATTTCACTTGCCAACAGGCAAGCAGCATAAGAAAATATTTCACTTAGTTGTTACATATTGTGATTTGTCTAATGTATAATGTGTCACAAAATAAAGTAACTTATTTCTAGGGTTTTTTTTTATTTCTTTAACATGCCTGAAATAATGATTGTATAGGTCAAACAATATTCTGTAGAAACCTGTTCCATATAGGAATCAGTTGTGCCACATCAAGGTAATGGGAAATGAGAATTGATCCAATATGAAGTGTTTGTGAAAGATTTGTCTTTCTGAATGAAGTAATACCACATGTGGAAACTCAAAAGCACGGGAAAGGATTTAAAAGCTATTAATTTAAGGAAAGTTCTTTCCTGAAAAACAGAAGCTGATTTCATAGCATTAACTGCAAGCCTACGGAGACAGATTTTAGGAAAAAAGTTCATAAAAATAAAATTCAATCAGTACTAAGCACATAGCACACATGTTCAAGATGTTGTTACTGAACCCATGTGCTCTTTGTGTTGCCCAAAATTTCTCTTTGTGCATACTGACAAAAACAACTTTTTACCGTTATCAGCATTGAGGAATCCAGACAGCATTAGAAGAGTCGGCTACATTCTAGACTACCTCACGTATGAGCAACACAAATGTCTAAGCTCATATTTAAGAAAATATTGGTTTATGGTGACTGAGGAAGAGCTGCACACCACATAACTTGAACCCAGGCTTCACATTGAGTCTGTTGGCAGTTAAGCTTACATTATGGGAACAAGTAAATAACTTTTCCTTATTCACTTTCTCCACACCACTCGATTTTATATACCTCTATCATATCCCCCATAAGTCTCCTATTCTCCAAGCTGAAAAGTCCTAGCCTCTTTAATCTCTTCTCATATGGGATCCGTTCCAAACCCCTAATAATTTTAGTTGTCTGTCTCTGAAGCTTTTCTAATGCCAGTATATCTTTTTTGAGATGAGACGACCACATCTATATGCAGTATTCAAGATGTGGGCATACCATGGATTTATATAAGGACAATAAGATATTCTCCCTCTTATTCTCTATCCCTTTTTCAATGATTCCTAACATCCTGTTTGCTTTTTTGACTGCCACTGCACACTGCGTGGACGTCTTCAGAGAACTATCCACGATGACCCCAAGATCTCGTCTGATCTTGTTCTGCTTGGTAACAATCCGAAGCAGTGTGGACTGACGTGTTCATTTTCATTATCTGTGGCAGATGCCACCAGCAGAAGGTTGATTTTCTTTTTTGGTGGTTTGGGTTCTGTAGTTTTTGCATCGAAGTGTTGCTCTTTTAAGACTGCTGAAAGCATGCTCCACACCTCGTCCCTCTCAGATTTTGGAAGGCACTTCAGATTCTTAAACCTTGGGTCGAGTGCTGTAGCTATCTTTAGAAATCGCACATTGGTACCTTCTTTTGCGTTTTGTGAAATCTGCAGTGAAAGTGTTCTTAAAATGAACAATATGTGCCGGGTCATCATCTGCTATAACATGAAATATATGGCAGAATGCAGGTAAAACAGAGTAGGGGGACATACAATTCTCCCCCAAGGAGTTCAGTGACAAATTTAATTAATGCATTATTTTTCTAACGAGCGTCATCAGCATGGAAGCATGTACTCTGGAATGGTGGCCGAAGCATGAAGGAACATATGAATGTTTAGCATATCTGGCACATAAATACCTTGCAATGCCGGCTACTAAAGTGCCATGCAAATCCCTGTTCTCACTGTCTGGTGACATTGTAAATAAGAAGAGGGCAGCATTATCTCCTGTAAATGTAAACAAACTTGTTTGTCTTAGCAATTGGCTGAACAAGAAGTAGGACTGAGTGGACTTGCAGGCTCTGAAGTTTTACATTATTTTGGTTTTGAGTGCAGTTATGTTACAAATGTAGGTTGTTGGTTTTTTGTAACTTGCACTTTCACGACAAAGAGCTTGCACTACAATACCTGTATGAGGTAAAGTGAAAAATACTGTATTTTGTTTATCATTTTACAATGCAAATATTTGTAATAAAAAAAACACACACTTTCATTTCAATTACAACACAGAATACAATATATATGAAAATGTAGAAAAACATCCAAAATATTTAATAAATGTTGGTTGGTATTCCATTGTTTAACAGTACGATTAAAACTGTGATTAATTTTTTTGAGTTAATCACTTGAGTTAACTGCAATTAATCGACAGCCCTACTAAATATCTACCACTTTAAACATATCATAGAATATCAGGGTTGGAAGGGACCTCAGGAGGTCATTTAGTCCAACCCCCTGCTCAAAGCAGGACCAATCCCCAGACAGATTTTTGCCCCTGATCCCTAAATAGCCCTCTCAAGGACTGAACTCACAACCCTGGGTTTAGCAGGCCAATGCTCAAGCCACTGAGCTATCTCCGCTCCCTGAATGCTTTAAGACAAGGATAGTAGAGCAAGTAGCATTCTAAAATGAAATTATAAGTTATTAAACTAGTAGCTACCTACAAACCACTCCCACCAACGCTTATATAAGTAACTTGTCCATGACTAAACCATATAAATCATTCCATAGGACAAGTGGCTGCAAGTTCAGGGCCTTACATTACAAGTAAGCAAAGAAAGATGCGACTTTCACGTGACTAGAATATATGCAGAGACCCACAGAGTTAAAACTGTGAAAACTGTAGCACAACACATCATGGAGATAAGAAGTGTATAAAATAAAACTTTACTATCCAAACATTTCAACACACACCCAAAGAGATTAATAAAGCAGATTAGAGAAGAAGAAATTATTTCTGAAGGATTTATTCTGGACTCCATCATCAATTATCCTCACTGAGACCTCTGGAAGATACTACAATATTAAAATGAGAAGGAATACAATAGTCCTATGCTCTAGCAGCAGGGTCCACTGACATTAAACATGCCAGGGAACTGTCAGATGCATTAAAAAAGATCTGAGCCCATATTCCTTGGTTCTGCTAGGGATATAGTGTGGTTAGATCACATCCGAATATACAAGTTTGTCTATCCCACATGCTAACTATGTTAATATATTCTCTCTTCCATACTAGTATGTCAATAGCAAATCCAGATTTTGCACTTTAGCATCATGTCTCTATATTAATCATTCAATGCCATGTCTGTCTGTTCTATTCAACTTTTATATTTAGAATTTTCTATACATCCGGTTACCCTGGAAAACACTGCCCAAATTTGTTAGAACTTTATTTGCATTGTAGAAAACCATGAAGACACTCTCTCAAAACTTTATTACAAAGACTTAAAAACGATAGATACTCCACTTGTCCTCAATGTCTGTAATAAAAAAAAAACCTAGAGCATTTCTTTTATTCATGTACCACCAAACTACTAGACTTTGACAACAGTAATGAAAACCAAGTAAAATACCATCTGTAAGAACCAACTGTAACTGTAGTTTTAGGTTGTCTGATAAGTAACAAAAGTCTGGTATATAATTTTTAGCATTTGTCTAAAAAAAAAAGTTATGTAGTCTTTTCTCCCAGCACCTTGGACGTGTTAAAATGAAGTTTAAAATCAGATATTCCTGCCTATATTTTTACCCCAAGCTGCAGTCTCTGTATATCCACACAAAGACCTACTGGAGAGGGGTTTCTCACCTGTTTAGTCTCGTCCTTTGCTAAGCCATGAGCCAAGTGGGCACTGAAAGTGCTCTTGCCGACTCCTCCTTTCCCAGACAAAACTAGTATTTTGTGCTTCACAATTTTCATTTTCTCCTTTATTTCTTCTATAGCTGCAAAGGTGTTCCCAAGAGTTTGCGCCATGAGCATAAGGGATGGCACCCTAGGAATCCTCAGCCTAGGCCCCCCGCCACCTGAAAGGGCTGCGGGCCAGAGTTTCGATTCTTCTCCCCATGCACCCCACCCCGCCCCTCTTCCCCAAGAGACAGTCTCAATGCACTCACCAGACACCCCCCAATAACTACCCCACCCCCCATACCCCACCCCTGAGAGACATGCTCAATGCACCCCCCAGATACCCCCAATTACTACCCCCTCCTCTGCCCACTCCCCTCCCAAGAGACATGCTCCATACACTCCCCAGACACCCCCCAATAACTACCCTCCCCCACCTCTCCCCACACACCCCTCCCCGCCCAAGACACATGCTCCATACACTCCCCAGGCACCCCCAATTAGTACCCCTCCCCCATCCCTACACACCCCCTCCCCAAACCCTTCCCCCAGAGACATGCAACCACGCACTCCCTAGACACCCCCCACTAACTCCCCCACCCCCACCCCTGAGACATGCTCAATGCACCCCCCAGACACCCCCCCCCGCGGCTCCCCGACCCCCAGCGCACTCACCCGGGTCCGAGGCGGCGGGGCCGCCGGCGGCGCACAGCCCCTGGCTGGGACACCCCTGGCAGGCGGCGGCTCTGCCCGCTTGGGCGCTGCTGGTGCCGGGGCAGCCTGCAAGGGAAGGCGAAAGAGCGGGCGGGGACCCGGGTCAGGGGAGCCGAGACGCCGCCGCCACCGAGGCCCCCCGCGCCGCGCGCCCAGCTCCCCTCACCGTGCGGCGGCGGCGCGGCTCCGGGACCCTCCGCCATCGCTCAGCCGCTGCGTCAGCGCCACTTCCGGGGCGGCGGGAAAAGCGGCGGTCACGTCTCCCCGTGACCGTTGTGACGTCACTGATCCGTTAGCGAACGTGCTGGCGTAAAGTCGCGCGACGCTCCCGGGTCACGTGGTTGGGCCGCCGCCGAGAGCAGCCCCCTCCCCAGCAGGCTCTCAGCGGCTCCTGGCCCGCTCCCGCCCCGGAGTCTCCGGGGTGTGCTGACGTCAGGCTGTCCCCGCCCCCTCTGCCTGCTCCTGCACCCCATCGCCACAGAGCTGCCAGCTCAACGTGCCGATCTACTTAAAAAGGCAATGTCCTTAGAGTGGGGCCCGCTTCCTTAAAGGGGCAATGCACGCCTCTCATGCACAAACACACACGTCTCTGTCACACACACACTGTGTACGTCTCGCTGCCATGCTGTGTCTCCTCCATTCGTGCTGCCTTGTAGAGTGTACTCCTTCGTTTTGCTGATACAGACTAACATGGCTGTGTAGAGTGTGTGGCTACATTAACTACGAGTTAACTCCTGGGGGCTCAGCCGAGTGCTAGTTCATCATTTAGCAGCAAGGCATCCCCTGGGAGATATCCCACCCTCTGACTCCACCGCCTCAACCAAGCAAAAAAAATTTCCCTGGAACCTAACATTCCCCCCCCCCCCATTTACATTAATTCTTATGGGGAAATTGGATTCGCTTAACATCGTTTTGCTTAACGTAGCGTTTTTCAGGAACAGAACTACAATGTTAAGGGAGGAGTTACTGTACAGTTCTGCTGCCCTCGCGTCACACAATGAGGATAACAACCCTCTATTACTCCTGCCCCAATAACAAGGAAACTGGAGAGCCAACACCAGTCAAAAGTGATCATTTGGGCAAGCAATCCCATCATGCGGCGCACCTAGGCTCATCAAGATGTCAGAGGAGGGCTCATTCAGACTCCGCTTACATATGCAAGGCCTAGCTCCGTATACTTGCTGCAGCTGTGGTTTGATTCTTGTGGCATCTAAGACAATAAAACACAGTGAATGCTCCTAGAGCAGTGGTTCTCAACGGGGGGGGCCACAGGGCCCTGCGGCTAAAACCCAGAGCCCAAGCCCCAGCACCTCCTGTGAGGCTGAAGCCAGGAGCCACAAGGTTGAAGCCCTGATCCCTGGCCCGTGCTGCGGGGTTGAAGCCCCGATCCCCAGCACCCCCCATGGGGCTAAAGCCAGGAACAGCAGGCTGAATTCCCAAGCCCCGGTACTCCCCACAGGGCAGAAGGTCATAGCCCATGGGCAGAGTTGGGGGGCACAAGGGGCATTGCTTCCCCCCAAACTATAGGGCAAGAGTAGGGCAGTCCCAAGGCAGCTACACACACACACACCCTCCACCTCCTTCTCTCCCCACCCCCTGGCCAGGTCAGAGGCAGGAAGCCAGAGCCAGGCATGCAGGACAGCTGCTGCTCTGGCTGATGCCATGGGGCAGGCAGCCGCGGCGTTCTCTCGTCTCCTGCTGCTGCAGGGGGTTGAAGCTGCTCCGCAGCTCCCAGACCCCCCCCCCCCCGCCTTTGCTCATGCAGCTGGTAAGAGCTGCCTGGGTGGGGGACCCAGCTCCGTAGCTGGCAGAGCCCGCAGGGAATGGGGACTGCAGGGGAGCTCTCCTGGCACACAGCCCCTCCCTGCAGAGCTACTCCCCTGTCCTCACACAGCCCCTAGCTACCCCCTCCCTGCACCCTGAACTACCCCCTTACTGCACCCTGAACTACCCCTCTACCCCCACACAGCTAGGGTTACCATATTGTGTGCCTCCAAAAGGAGGACACTCCACGGGGCCCTGGCCCCGCCCCCAGCCCCGCCCCAACTCCGCCCCC